ACCGCCCAGCCCAGCGCCCGAGCCTCCTGGCACGATGGCGGGGAAGGTAACTGCCCCGGGCACCGCGGTGCTGCTGGTCACGGCCAACGTGGGCTCGCTCTTCGACGACGTAAGTGTCGCGCCGTTGGCTGGGGAGGAGCGGCATTCCGGGCCAAGAATCGCCCTAACCCTGGCCCTGACATTTCCCCACTCTTGTCAGGGACGCCGGACCAGTAAATCTCTGGACCTGGTCCATGCCCCCAAGCTGAGAATTCAGGCCAGGAAACCTGACCCAGGACCCCGACCCTGATCCCTGAGTTTGGGACCCCTTCCTTGATCCCTGAGCCTAGAACTTGAAGATCCAGTTCTTGACCCCCTATTCTAATCCAGATCCACTAACTCAGTCTGTGACCATCAAATCTCCAACTCAGCCCAAGTCCTAGCAACTGAATCCTGATGCCAGTACATAGCTGTGAATCCCTGATCTGCCGAATCCTGGTCCCAGTGTCCCTATTCCCAACCCTGGCCCTGAACTACAGGACCTCAAACCCTTGTCTGATCCCCAAACCCTGGCCCCGATCCCTTGAAGCCTAACCACAGTTGCTGACCCTGGAGCTCCCTATTCTGAATTCTAGCTCCCAAATCCTAAACCCTGGTTCCCAAGCCTTGAATTCTGACTCCAGAATGCCAGCCTTCAAATTTTGATCTGCTCCAAACCTTTTCCAGCCTGATCCTGAATATCCTACTCCTCCAAATCCCAACTTCTGGTCCCAATCCCCCGAACCTGGAACCCTGATGACTAACTCTGTTCCCTTGTTCCCATCCCTGAATACCCCCTCCCCTACTGTCACCCTTGAATTCTGAACCTTAGCCCCAAGTCTGGCCCTTGGAACTCTGTCCACTGGCCCCCAAACCCATCCCCTGGCCTTTGTCTGCTGGCCCCTGTCTTCCTGGGTACCTGAGGTATAGGATGTATTCGTTTGGCCTTATAACTTGTGATCTTCTTGTGTCTCAAAGGAAGGGACTCTGTTGAAAACCCTGGAGGACTTTATATTACTTGTTTATTAAAGAGAAAGCTGCTGAGAAGGTCTTGGAGTCCAGAAAAAGGATGCTGGCTGCCTAAGGATTTTATCTTCCAAGGTTTCCCCCATCCAATCCTGGTGTCCACCCAGGAACCTCTGGCCCTCTCCTCTGGGAGGCAGGAGGGAACTGAGGCTCAGGGCACAATGGGAGCTCCCCAGAATAGGCCGAGGCTGACCTAGTTCAGTGTGCAGCCATGGTGCCACCCTGCTGTTGGTACTTAAACTGCCAACCCAAATAAAGCAGAATGCGGCTCCAAGTGGCATGCTTGTTTAAGAAGAAAGGGTAATGTCACAGATGGAGCTGTGGAGCCACGTATTTCCCTCCCTCCTTTCCTTAGGTGAACAGTGGGCACAGTGCCAGGGTTGGGAGTTGTGTGTGTGGATAGAAGCCTGATTTAGATTTCAGGGGAAGTTCTTGTTTCTTTGCTGGCAGCAAGCATGATGAAGAGTTTCATTAAGTTGAGTTCATGGTTAGAGTAGGCTTAGTTTTTATCAATAAAGGGCAGGTCTGTGTTTTGTTATTTGCCTTCTAGGCATCTGTGTGTTAACATTTACCTGCTAGAGATGTACTGCTTCCCCTTGGACTTTGTTATGGACAACTTGGTACAGTTGCACGTGTGATCATTCTCTTCAAAAGAGCCTGTATGGGTGTGTGCCTGTATATTTAGCATTCTATTCTAAGCTTTCCAGTAACATGTCACTGTAACATAGTTTTGTTCAGATGATTCAGATCTGTTAGCTGTGGCTTCAAAACCTCAGAAATGTCAGGAAAATTAGCATGGTGGGGCATGTTAGTCTCAAAGGGAAAAGAATTTTGCTGTGCAAATGTTCTTTCTAGTAATATTTGATTCTGAGTTTTGTTCTTTCAACTGTATATACACATATTTTTCTCTGTTGGTATTAAAATGGTTAACTTAACCCAGTTTTGTTTAGTTACATTCTCTCTGAATTTTTATTTTTCTTGGGCTGTATTGCTTTTTACATTATGCTTGCATGTAGAAGGAGCATTTGTTTTGGTAGACATATGTAGGTTGATTCTGCAGGATGACTTGGGTTTTAAGGCCAAGTGAAATAGCACCTGTGTTTCCTAACACGTGTAGCTGTGTTTACAGGAATGCAGGCCTTATTCTGTGTTTGGGGGTTTGGGTTATGGTTCTTGTGGAGAAGAAATCTGATCCGAGAAAGCAGTGAATTCTTGAATGAAGGAAACTTTAATTCTTTGGTTTATGCTAAATTTTAGAAGATCTCATGACTTGTTTGCCTTTGCTCAACATGTACTTGTACTGACACACACACCCCTCTGACCATGTTCAGGTGTAGGAAGGAGTTCTTGTTGTGTACAAGCTCTGCTCTGTGTCTGGTGCCTTCTTTGCTTCCTGGGGAGTCTGCTTCGGAGGAGAAAGGTGTCCAGTCTGGATCTGAAACAGATATGCCAGCTATGAAGGACACAAACTTTTTATGAACAAGTGATAGGTGGTTTGTTTTTGCTTTTGCAATTTTGAAAGTCTCTTCCCCTCCATCCTCTCAGAATACTGTATGTAAATTTAAAAAATACTGTATGTAAATTTTGTTGTAATTTTTTGGCGCTGGCTACTGTGCGTGCTAAGCACATGCTCTACCACTGAGCCACATCCCAAACCCGTGTATGGACATTTTAATCATGGTTTGTCCTTAACACCCTGGGATCTCTGGAACATCTTGTTCAGCCTACTCTCTTCTCATCAGCACTCCTGGCATCCTTGTGCCCTGCAAGATGGCCAGGCCGCAGTTACTGAGCTGTTCTCGCTGAAGGCCTTTAGGTTGCTTTCAGCCCTTTGACATTACATGCAATAGTACCATAAATAAAAGATTTCTGTCTTCAAACTTTATCTTTTACTTTCTTAAAAATTATACTTCCATAATTTTAATTACAAATTCCAAGAATTTAAGAACCTCATGATTCTTGTTTATGTAGGTTATAAGTATGACTAAGAAAATGTTAAGCACAAGAATATGTAGCACATGCTGCAGTGGCTGGCAGAGTGATAGGTCATTGTACTTCAAGTGTCCCTGGAAGCTCCACTGTCCCTTGTGGAGAGTGAGGAGAGTGGCTCATCCTATAGTGTAATGAAGTGTCATGGCCTAGTCGCCCTCTGAAGAGGTGTCCCTGGCCTACACTCTGAGGACCTCAGGCCAGACCCCTTGAGCCTGCAGGTGGGCCAGTGGTACCTGTGACGTTTCCAACTTTCTGCTAGTGACTTTAATAATGTCCTCGAATTTCTAGATTGGACTCCTGCTGTTACTGCCCACTTGCCTAGAAAGGGATGTCGAGGCATATATATCTGAGTTTTGCTAGAAAAGGCTAGTTTTTCGACCATTGAGGTTTTTGGGTCTTGGCACTTTACATCTTTACTAGAAGTAAACTGAGAAGGTGAAACTTGCAGGCTATGCTTTTCATCTCAGCCCCACCTTTACATGGCTAGGCGTTTTTTTTATTTTATTTTTTTAATTTTTTTTGTTTTTTTGGTTTTTTTTTTGGTACCAGGGATTGAACTTGGGACCTTGTGCTTGGGTCACAGGCAGTGGAACCCTTAGGACCTTATGTTTGCGACACAGGTGGTGGAATCCCAGAGCTAAATCCCCAGTCCAATGATTATTATTATTATTTTGGTACTGGGGATTGAACTTGGTCCTTGTGTTTGAGTCAGCTGGCGGCACCACTGAGCTAAATCCCCAGCTTTCTGGCCAAGATGTTTTGACTGTAGGTCCCACTGCTTATTCTGAACAAGAAGTCATTTTAGCTTAGTCAGCTCCTGAGCTGTCCTTTCATTTCTCCAGACCTAGGATTGCAGAACTGTTGTTGAGAGTGGGCTTGACACAGGATCATTAGCAGGAACTGATGGTCCTCTGATCAGTAGGTGTTCGTGAGCTTTTGCATGGAGGGAGGCAAGTCAGAGCTGCTGTGGGCTGGTGGACCCACAGTGGGTGCCTCTTTCTATGTCGCACTCCCTAACTGCAGTGTCAGTGCTGCCTTTTTTTTGCCAGCTTTTCCATCAGTTTCAAGATACCATTGTGTCTCTCCTTTGAAATCTTTGAGTCCAGTGTCCCCCAGCTACTGAAGTGATCTAACTCTCTTCCCCCGTAGCTTCAAGAAGGGTGGTCTCTTCCTAGGTTCTGCCCCAGCACTCTTCTGTGGAATTGTGCTGCAGGGCTGGTGGTCAGTTTGCTGATGTCAGTCCTAGTTGGTCTTTATTTTTAGTTTAATTTGTTTTCTTGCTTTTGGTGATTGAACCCACATCATTTGCATTCAGCCCTTTTATTTTATTTTATTTTTTATTTGGAGGCAGTCACTAAGTCACTAAGTTGCCTGGGCTGGAATTGAAGTTTTGATCTTGCTGCTTCAGCCTCCTAGAGTGCTGGGATAATAGGCATGTGCTACCATGCCTGGCTGCTGCCATGCCTTTCTTTTTAATCCTAGTACTGGGGATCGAACTCAGGACCTTGTGCTTTCAAGGCAGGTGCAGCACCAGTGAGCTAAATCCCTGGCGTGCCATTCCTTTTTGTTTTCTGGCAGCCTCTGAGGTCATGGGTCTCTCTTCTTCATGAACTTTTTGTTTGGTAATGGCTTTAAGTAGACCTTACATGCTGTACAGTTCACTCATTTAAATGGTACAGTTCATTGTTTTTAATATAGTCACAGGGTTCTGTGACTTTACCACAGTCTATTCTAGAACATTTATGTCACCTTAAAAAGAAGCCTTATGCATTAGTGGTAACCCTTATCTCCCCAAAACTGCAATTCATACTCACTACCTGTCTCCTTTTCTCTATGGATTTACCTATTCTGGGCATAGTCATATAGGTGGAATCACAATGCGTGGATTCTTTCACTGAGGAACGTGTTTTCAATATTCATCCAAAGCCTGGTCAGTGCTTCATTCCTTTTTATGGACCGATTAATACTATTCCATTGTGTGTACATGCAGCATTTTGGTTTATTGTTCATCATGTGATAGACATTTGGTCTGCTTTCACTTTTTGGCTTTTGTGAGTTTTGCTGTTACGAACA